CCGCTACCGCCGCCGCCGCCGCCCGGCGCGCCCCGCTCCGCCCGCGCCCCGTGCGCCTGAGCGCCGAGCTCGCTCCTCCTCCGCGCCAACTCCGCCGCCGGCTCCCCAGGCCGCTCGGGCTCCGCGCGCGCTTCCCCAGGCTCCACGCGTCTTGCCCCGCCGAGGCAGCCTCCTCCAGGCGCGGGCCCCTGCACACCATGGCCACCGGGCGGACAGGGGCCGGCGCCGCCGTGCGCGCCCGCCTGGCGCTGGCCTTTGCGCTGGCGAGCGTCCTGAGCGGGCCCCCAGCCGCCGCCTGCCCCACCAAGTGTACCTGCTCCGCCGCCAGCGTGGACTGCCACGGGCTGGGCCTCCGGGCGGTTCCCCGGGGCATACCCCGCAACGCCGAGCGCCTGTGAGTACCTCCGCCCCGCCCAACCCGGGCCACCCACCTGGGTCCATAGTGGGGCCCCAGGCACCAGATCTTTCCTTTCCCTTTGGCCGCACTGGATGCAGTCTCTGCTGTCACCCTCTCCTGGGTCGGATCTTTCCTTCTCTGAGTTGGGGTCTCTGGCGTTGGGCACGTCTAGAGAGAGGTCTTGAAGCCCACCGGGATGGGCAAAGAGCAGTGTTTCTCTAAGGGTGAAGGCTCCAGACGTAGGGCCCGGTGACAGCTTCCAGCAGAACGCTGGCAGGAAGCGAAGGGAGTAGACAACACTGCAGCCAGCGAGGTCTTAGGGTGAGAGCATGGGGTCTGCGCTCATGAAAGAAGGGAGGCGAAGGAGAAAGCTGAAGGGTGATGGGGCGTCAGGGCACGGAGAGGGGAGAGGGCCGAGACTGTGACCAGCTTGGAGATCAGAATGGGCCACTTTCCGGCTGCCCTTGCGAGCGAAGTTGGGTGTGTGTGTGAAGGTCTAACTTCTGAGGAACCGAACGAATTCAGAGTGGGTGCTTGCAAAACCCGCCCTGCCTGGAGTGCAGTCTCAGAGATGCCAAGTTGCAGCCCGGGTGAATTTTTTATGGCTCGGTTATAAATGCCTCCCCAAACGGGCCGGAGAATGGAAATGCTGACAGCCCTTTAAATGAGACCGAGCGCTATAATCTTACAAACCGCACTCAGCCTCGGATCCAGGGTTTGGCAGCGAGAGGACAGGCGTTTGGAGAGTGGGGTGGATTGACCCTCGTTTTAACCCCAATTGTGCAACCAAATATTTACTTTTCATATGTCAACGTTTTGGAAACATTTATCATTTTGATCCTCGGACCAAACTCAAAACTTGGACTCCGAGGGTGGGCTCTTCCCAGCCCGCAGTTGGGGAGTACGGAAGGAGGGAGAAATGGTGGAGGGGGTTGGAACCGGCCTGGGAACACAGCCCAGAAGTGGGTGAGGGTGTGCTCCAGTGTAATAGACTTCTCCACGTCTTGCTCTCTTTGTGTCTCCCTTCCCCACGTGTCTTAGGGGTAGGTGCGTGGGTATTCCGTTCTGCCTTCTTGACTTTAGGCTGGCAGAGAGAGAGTGGCATGAGACTAAGTGGATTGTCCTGGAGTGTGTTATTCCTGTTGATCACGTCCTGTCACCCCACTCTCTTCCTCAAACTCTATGTGTCCCTGGGCAGAATCTCAAAGGTACTACCTACCTTTTCCCTGGAGCTTTCCTGTGGCTCAAAACATCTTTTTTTCAAGTGCGTTGATTATTCTGTGTGGTCATGAAATTCTAGAGGGTTGGAGCTGAACCTTCGTTAACACATGTAGAAAAGGTTCAGAAATGTGACACAACTTGCCCAAGGTAATACAACAAGTTAATGGCAATAAAGGGGCCACAATCTAGGTTTCCACAGCTTAATTCAGACATTATAGTTTACCATACCAGTTACAATTTTGTTTTAGTGGTATTTTGGGGGTAGCTAACACTGTGCTAGCCATCTTTGGAACAAGGGTCAGTGTGGGCCAAAGTCTGTAAACAGACAGTCTTGGGAGGGTTCTGGCTGGGCTTGGGTCTTCGAATAGGGTGCTCTTGCTACTGTTTCAGGTATACCCTGCAAACATTCAGTTTGCTTTGCCATTAGGTCTCCTGTTGGGAGTTTTGAGACTCCCTCTCCTCCATTGTAAAAAAACATGGTGCATAGTTGGGAAGCCAGGGGGAGTGAGCCCTTCTCCTGCTGTCATGGAGGAAGTCTTCAAAAGCTGCAAGCACAGCACAGCAGCCAATATGCCACCCACCTACCTTGGGGCTGTCCATCTGCTCTACAACTGGAGAAACTGGGTGGAGACTGAGTCCTGGGCGTTCACATGGGGCCCTGCTGCAGTCACGGTCATTCGCAGACCTTGGCAGAGTGGGCTGTACTTTGGAATAGTCTCCGGTCACTGGTGCCTCTTCGGCTGGGGTGCATTGGGTGACGCGGCTACCCAGTTTAGCTCCTCATTCTGTTCTCCTTCCTCCCTGGGAGAGGGGGCAGCCTTTAGAAGAAAGCTGGGCAAGGAGTGCTGCGGGGCTAGGAGCAGCCTACCGACAGTCCTTCACCACCTCTCACCCTCTTTTGGTCAGCCCAGCTGTAACATTTGAATCTCGGGTTCAGTGTGTGTGTGTGTGTGGGGGGGGGTGATGTTTGGCATTTCAAAGCTATGGAAAGGATTTCTTTAGGGAGGAATTTCTCATTCATCCCTCTCTTCATTCATTCAACAAACATTACTTGAACCCCTACTGCATTCCAGTAACTGTATATAAAATCATTGCATATACAGAAGAAAACTGGCAATTCAGCTTAAGGAATGTAAGCAAAGGACCGAGCAAAGGGAACTTCCTTTAGTGAGTCTTCTAAACTTTCCAGGACTCATTTCTTCATGGGGCATATGTTTTGTCAGCATCAGCATCATATGCTCGGGACCTTCCTAAAATCCAGTTTTCTGATCTCAAATGTTTCTGTTCTGTTTTATAACAAAGAAGAAACATTTCTGCCTTCTGCATTCCTGCTACTTTACCTCCCAGAGAGGCTTTCCTGAGGAGTGTGTGTGGTTGGTTTTCTGGGGGTTTTTGAGTTCTGAGGCCTCATTTGCTCATGCTACCCCTTAAGGAAAATCTGCCGGGGGATAATGTGGTCACCATTTGGACTTTGCTTCAGGCCTGCAATGGGGTCTGTTATATTGTTCATAATTAAGCTGGTATCAGAGTTGGGAGGGGGGGTCTGTGTTCCAGCTTCTTCTCCATAATGTCAGCACATTGCATAGAAAGAGAAACTCTATGTCGTTTATAAACTACCAACAATCTGTTTCCCTCAATGAGGAGGTGACACCCACAAGAAAGCTAAATAAACGGAGGGGAGAATTCAGTGTAATTTATTATCCGTGCAGCAAAGATAGAGGACAAGAGGAGAGGAAGTGAATGGTGGTGCCTGAAACAAAACATTTACCATGGAGCACAGAGTAAACAGATGTCGCATTTACCCCTCTGAGTACAAAAGGAGCCCACAGATGTAATTCTTCTCCAACCACAATCTCAGCCTGGAAGAAGAGGAGACAGATGAAAATGAACTCTCATGAGGGGCCCCTTCTCTCTGTGCTGCCTAAAGGCAGGCAGAGGCCTACTTCTCACCCACGGCGAGGTGGTGGCCCAAACAGCAGAGTGGGGCAAGAGTGGACATCTTTGGTTTTTCACTTGGCTCCGGAACATGCTGGAGACTGCTGTATTTAAATAAACATTTCCTGTTTGCGAAGGAAAACGGGCGAAAGGCTGAAACGTGAGAATGTGGTAACTTAATTTTCTCCATCACTCCAGATGATGGCAAGCTTCGCCGGTGGTTGCGTCCAATAAAAACCAACACCGTGTCACAGGCTTTCCCTCACTTGACCACAGAGGTCTCCAGGTCAAGTGGGAGGCTTTCCAAGATGCTCTGTGGCCAGGCCCTGCATCCTGGTATTCCTAGCCTCAGGGCCAGCCCAGAGGACTAGGGGCAGTTTGGTGAATCCTGGGGCCTCTCTGAGCACAGTGCTCTCCTGGTGAACCTGTGGGTTGGACACGAGCAGTTAAGTGCACCTGCCTCCAGTGTACTGTGCAGCTGAACAGATTGTTCTACCTTTCGGGGCTTATTTTCCTGAAAGCAGAATTCTCGTGTAGTCCTAATAGTTTTCCTTGTATGGGCCTCTTCCCCTGTGCCTAGAACAGTGCCTGGCACATAGTAGTTTTTCAACCAGTATGTGTTGACTAAATGAATACATCTCAAAAATACAAGTTTTTCTTTGGTTCTTGCACGTGAAAGATGGGCAATTAGAGCTTTGCATTTTTTATGTATGGCCAAGGGCAACTTACTAGTAACCTATTACATGAGTTATTAAGGGTTCCTGAAATTTAGCTTTCATGAACTAAAATTATTGCCTTACTAGAGTTAGCAAGGACTCCTAATGAGTGACACAACTCTGGAGTCTGGTTGCCAGGCATTGCTTAGCAACCTTGCAAAACTCCTACTGTGCACATGCCCCTGAGAAGAGCTAGAAATCCCAAACACTTAAACTGTAGGCCTTTCTAATCAGGAACTCATCAGCATCATCCTGCGCTCTCTGTGGTTTTTGATTGCTGCTCTTCTTGTATTAATTGATGTATTTGTAGGATCATTATTAAGTTTTGCTTTTGCGGATCATCTGGGTCTTGTATATTTCTGCATTTTTTTGCATCTTAACAGTTATTTTGTTCCTCTCTGGTTCTGTTTGTTGTCACTGAGTTCGTCCTCCCCTGGAAAGTGAGAATGGTAGATCTGAGAGCCATGGAGTCTTTTCCACCAACTAAGTGGACTACATGGGCCGTGGCAAGGTTTCAGAACCCTGTGCCTATTAGTTCAGGGTGTCGGCTCTGGAGGCAGAAGGCTCTGGTTTGAATTCTGGCTCTGTTACATCTTTGCTGTTGCACCCTGGGTGGGTTACTCCACTTCTCTGGGCTGCAGTCTGTTTACTCCCTTTGTACTGTATTTCCACAGCTGTACTACAGGGATGACGATCACTCTGGCCCCCTGTGTGCATGTTGTGAATGTGGCCTGAGACGTCACATCATACACTCAGCACAGTGCTTGGCACTTCGATTCTCCAGCTACCTCTCCTTACTTGGAAAGTATGCATAGTAAATGTTCCTCTTGGGGAATCAAATGAAATAATGGACAGGAAGTGCTTAACACAGTACCTAGCACTTAGGCCTCCATCAGCCATTAATGGTAGTGACCATGGCCATTATTTCTATGGCTTCATCTCAGGCCCCATCCAGCTGGAAAGCTCGAGATGCCCACTCTAAATGTACCCCATGGAGGCAAGGTCTTCGCCAGCACGTAGGCTGTGCCCAGCACGCTTGTGCCTGGTCCCCCTCCCCCTTCCTCTCCAGTTAAGCCCAGGTTGGCCTCCGTTCCATAAAAAGGGGATTACAGTTGAAGTGGTTTA